CAGGCCTCTCGATCCAGAGATGGAGGCACTACCACTGTGCCACAAGACGACCCTTTGTGATGTTATTGAACTTCTGTCTCCAAGTCCACGGGTCTGGACACTACCGTTGAGCCACGTGAGGGCCCTGTGAGATGTTATTAAAACACCAGTGGAGCAGGTGAGACTTGAACCAGAGCCTCCCGGTCCAGGGGTAGGGATAGCGCTGGTACAGAAGGTGAGGAGCCCGTTGTCCCCCAGATTTAACGCAAACTCTCTCTCTCTCTCTGTGTGTGCTACCAGGAGTTGCGGAGCTGGGAGGAGGAGCTGAGCAGAGCTGCAATTCAGCAGAGAAACCATGAAGAGGTGCTGCGGAGACGGGAGCAGGAGCTGGCTGAAAGGGAGATCGATATCGTGGAGCGGGAACTGAATATTATCATGCGGCAGCTCTACCAGGAAAAACCCAAAGTCAAAAAGCGCAAAGGCAACTTCAAGAAAAGCCGGTTAAAGCTGAAAGACGGAAACCGGATCAGTTTACCGTCCGGTACGTGTTGGAATTCCACTGAGGGCAAAATAAAAACCGTGAGAACTGCGGATGCTGTAAATCAGGAACAAAAAAACAGCAGTTGCTGGAAAAGCTCAGCAGGTCTGGCAGCATCTGTGAATAAAGGGTCACCGGACCCGAAACATTAACTCTAATTTTTTCCCTTCACAGATGCTGCCAGGCCTGCTGAGCTTTTCCAGCAACTTCTGCTTCTGTCAGTGCTAAAGGCGAGACTGTGGCATTGATATAGCGCCTATCACAACCCTAGGAAATAGCATATCTGCCAGCTTAATCTGAATTAATAATCTATTTTGCATTCCATCTCATGAGATTCAGCCTGGTGATGAAATAATGGTATGGCATAGTGATAATGTCCATGGACTAGAGTCGTAGAATCATACAGCACAGAAACAGACCCTTCGGTCCAATCAGCCCATGCTGACCATAACCCTAAACTAAAGTAGTCCCATCTGCTTGTATCTGGCCCATATCTCTCCAAACATTTCTTATTCACATACTTACCCAAATGTCTTTTTTAAATGTAACTGTACCTGTGTTCCACACACAAACCACTCTCTGTAAAAAGAAAATTTGCCTCTTATGTCTTTTTAAAATCTTTCTCCTCTCACCTTAAAAATATGTCCCCTAGTCTTGAAATACCCAACCCTAGGGAAAAGACACCTGCAATTCACCTTATCCATGCCCCTCATGATTTTATAAACTTCTACAAGGTCATCTCTCAACCTCCTACGCCTTGGTGAAAAATAATCCCAGCCTCTCCTTATAACTCAAATCCTCCATTCCCAGCAACATCCTGGTTAAATCTCTGCTGAACCTTCCCCGGCTTAATAATATCCTTCCTATACCAGGGCAACCAGAACTGGACATAGTTCCCCTCCTGGGGAATCTCAAACCAGCTTAAAAATAAGGGATCTCTCTCTTAAGCTGGAGACAAAGAGGAATTTCTTCCTTCATGCTTATGAGTCTGTGGAATTCTCTTCCTCAGAGAACAGTGGGGGCTGGACTGTTGAATATTCTAAAATTTTTGCTAGGGTCATGAGTTATGAGAGAAAACAGGACAGGCAAGTGATCCTGAGGACAAAACCGTATCTGCCACCATCTTTATTGAACGTTGGAGCAGGCTGGAAAGGCTGAATGGCCTACTCCTTGCAGGACTCTTGTGGTGCAGTGGTGGTGCCCCTTCCTCTGAGCCAGGATGCCCGGATTCAAGCCCGACCTGTCCAGGAGGTGTGTCATTGCATCCTCAAACAGGTTGATTAAGGCCAATCCCTGGTGCAGTTCTTGCTGGTCCTGTGGATGTACTTCCGACAGAAACATAACGTGATGAGTTCTGTTTGTCCGAAAGGGTTTGAGCACAAGATCACGGTGCAGGCCTCACCGACTGTGGACAAGTGGAAGGGTCAGGCGACAGATGGATCGAGTCCCCCAGGCAGCCCCATCATGATCCCCCGACTCAGGGCCATTCGCTGTAAGTTGTTGTTGTATCTCCGCTCTGCTAGCGCCTGCTCTGTGAATCCAGCATCTCTCTATTGGTCGGGAGCATTAGTTACCGGCACAGTAACAGCTCTAAGGTGGAGTCTAGCTACAGCTTCATGGGTCTGAGAGTATTGGATTCTTCGGGGAAAGTGATACACAATTTCTCAAACTTGTAGTTTAATAAAGCAAATTTAAATCTCTGCCCTCAGCCCTCTGTAAGGCATTTTAACAAACCCTTTTGTAATTTTAAACGCTTCTCGTTTAAATCACCCCACAGTCCTTTCTTCTTTTAAGCAGCCATGGGACATGGCCGTCGCTGGCTGGGCCCAGCATTTATTGACCGTCCCTAGTTGCCCCTTGAGAAGGTGGTGGTGAGCTGTCTTCTTGAACCACTGCACTCCATGTGCTGTAGGTAGACCCTTAGGGAGGGAATTCCAGGATTTTGATCCAGCAACAGTGAAGGAACAGCAATATATTTCCAGGTCAGGATGGTGAGTGGTTTGGACGGGAACTTGCAGGGGGTGGTGTTCCCGTGTATCTGCTGGCCTTGTCCTTCTAGATGGAAGTGGATGTGGGTTTGGAAGGTGCTGTCTGAGGATCTTTGGTGAATTTCTGCAGCGCATCTTGTAGATGGTACACACTGCTGCGACTGAGTGTCGGTGGTGGAGGGAGTGGGATGTTTGTGGATGTGGTGCCAATCAAGCGGATGCTTTGTCCTGGATGGTGTCAAGCTTCTTGAGTGTCGTTGGGGCTGCCCCCATCCAGGGCAAGTGGGGAGCATTCCATCACACTCCTGACTTGTGCCTTGTAGATGGTGGGACAGGCTTTGAGGAGTCAGGAGGGGAGTTACTCGCTGCAGTATTCCTGGCCTCCGACCTGCCCTTGGAGCCACTGTGTTTATATGGCGAGTCCAGTTAGGTTTCTGGTCAGGATGTTCTCGAAAAAAGATATCAGCCTCTTCATATTCCTGAGATAATCTCAAAGGTGTTAATAATTGAAACTGAGCTAAGAAAGATCCCACTAAATTGGGGGGGGGGGGGGGGGGAGGTGTCTGCACTAAAGAGGTGGGAAGTTGGGTGAGAGCAGGCTTTAACCAGGAAATACAATTTCTGCTTTTGTTCTTACTTTGCCACGTGGTGTTTTTATTTCCATGTGGAGATTCAGGAGGCTGGAGATTTGGGAAAGAGCAGTTGTTACGGTTACTGCCTCACTAGAGGATAAATTCTAGAATAGACAACGGGAGATCCTTTACTGTCTGCAATGGGAACTCTGGCTGGAGTTTGCAGGGAGAGTGATGGAAATGTGGAGCTGGAGCTGCAAATGAACTTGGTGTAAAGTGTAACAAAGCTGCCCCCTTGTGGCCTCCCTGGTTACTAAACTGAATTGGGCTCTGAGAACTGTCGATGCTGGAGTCAGAGATAACACTGTGTGGAGCTGGAGGAACACAGCAGGTCAGGAGGCATCAGAGCAGCAGGGAAGTTGACGTTTCGGGTCGGGACCCTTCTTCAGAAATGGGGGAAGGGGAAGGGAG